ATGCTACAAACTTTAATGGAATCAGTCGTGTAGGTTATTCTTATTTATTGACAGTAACTATTTACTAAATATATTTATAGGTTGTAAATTCTCTAGGAAGCGACGATGCTCAAGCTATTCAAAATGTTCAGGAGCAACTAAAGGACTTAACTGTAAAAAGGGAACTCCTAACTATTCAGAATTACTTTTGCACCATGCCGTCAATAATTGAAAATTTAGAAAAAGGGTCCAATTCTTTGAAGCAAAATATGGTTCTGCTGAGCAAAGCTCAAGAAATGATAAATGACGTTCCAGAAAGCTTGGGAGATATATTAAAGAAAAAATTAAAGGATGTACTATTGAAAAGCCCGGACTTTAAAACGATTGAAAAACTGAATGACTCAATTAACAGCATAGATGGAATGAATTCGATTGACGATTTAAACATGGAAAAAATCTATAAAAATATATATGCTCCATTGACGTCGTGCGATGTTGAAAGAAGCTTTTCCGCATTCAAGCTTTTACTCACAGACAAAAGAACAAAATTAACTGTTGAAAATATAGAAAAAATTTTGGTCACATATTGTAAACAAAATTACAACTAAAATGTACTTTAACATCCTAACTATTGCTTAGCGTGATCCCCAAAGCACTAAATACACTCATATTAAATACGTATTTTTTCTGATTTTTTTGGTGTAATGGCGAATATATAAATTTGTTGCGTGTGGTTTGTAACAATTTTTTTTTTGTTTAAAACCAATTCCAGCCAAATTGGGGCTTTGCACTTTCAATTTCCCTGTGGATCGGCTAATGTGGCGGGTACAGTTTTCAAAAATTATATTGATTGGTCCAACTTTTTAAATTATAGAAATAAGCAGTAGTTTGATGAAAATGTTCACAAACTAACACGATTTTTGAAACCGATTTTCTTAAGATACGGTGGTGCAATTGTAGCTATTTTTATGTATACCCCTTCTGTCACCTACAGAAATACATTTTAAACATTTTTACCATTAAGCTCGAAATATATGTGCCTGTAAGAGACAGAAACATATTCGACATATTTTGCATATTCTCGACATATTTTACATATTCCCGACATATTTTGCATATTCTCGACATATTTTGCATATTCCATTGCATAAAAAAATGCATATTTGCGATATGTCGTCGTCATTCGAATACCAATTTAATATAGTGCCTAAATCCAAAATTTGGCGGTATTTGAAGCAAAAATGAAGAAAAACATATAATCCGATGTCTATTAGACATCGGATTATATGCAAAATCATATTTTTAACGGCTTGTCGAAATCAAATTTCGATTGGACGGAAATTCGTTTCACGTTAAAATAATAAGATTAAGGCCATGTTGTTTTTGTATATTCGACATATCTTGCATATCAAGAACATATCCAACATATTTTACGACATATTATCAAAGCAGGCTTTTGTCAGAATGTTTAAGAATTCAAAAAATCATTTCAAAGAGAGTTTGTTGTGAAGAGTTGATTATTAAAAAAATGCCGAAAACTCAAAAGAAAGGTGATCGGCTTAAGGAATGGTTGAAAGACATTAACGAGTCTGCTATTACAGTAATTGACGACAATCTATACTGCAAGTCCTGCCAAAAACATGTAAGAAATGTAAATATATTAAATTATATTCTATCTTATAATTTAATGTCCTAGATTGGTAGTGATTGTAAGTCGCAACTTATACAACACATAAGAACAGAATTACATAAGCAAAAGCCAAATAGTATAACATCTAGAAACGAACAAGAAACTCCGTTTTTTTCCAATCTGTGTGAAGCCATGATAGCATTTAAATCAATTAACAACAACATTTTTAGAACTTTTTTACACAAATACACAAATCAAAACATACCAGACGAAAGTACCATACGCAAAAACTATCTAGACAGAAGCTATCAAAAAGCCCTCCAAGAAATTAAAAATGAAATAGGGAATAACGCAATTTGGATATCAATAGACGAGACAACCGACAGGAATGGACGTTATATAGCAAATTTAATAACTGGATCACTGGATGAGAAGAAGTCAACGCGTCCATATTTGATTGCTTGTCGTCAAATAGAAAAAGTCAACAACAGTACAATTTCAAGATTTTTAAACAATGGATTGAGATCTCTATGGCCAGACCTAAATGAAGAAAATGTACTGCTTATGGTTACAGACGCAGCTGCTTATATGATAAAGGCTGGTCAAAACTTGAAGGTATTTTATCCCAACATGATACATGTGACTTGCTTGGCCCACGGATTGCATCGGGTCGCAGAAACTATTCGAGGACATTTCCCAAAAGTCAACAAATACATATCGGACGTTAAAAAAATATTTCTGAAATCTCCCCACCGTTGCGCCCAATACAAATTGATGCTAGATATTGAATTACCGCCGGAGCCAAAAATAACGAGATGGGGAACTTGGATTGAGGCTGCATGCTTTCATGCTACAAACTTTAATGGAATCAGTCGTGTAGGTTATTCTTATTTATTGACAGTAACTATTTACTAAATATATTTATAGGTTGTAAATTCTCTAGGAAGCGACGATGCTCAAGCTATTCAAAATGTTCAGGAGCAACTAAAGGACTTAACTGTAAAAAGGGAACTCCTAACTATTCAGAATTACTTTTGCACCATGCCGTCAATAATTGAAAATTTAGAAAAAGGGTCCAATTCTTTGAAGCAAAATATGGTTCTGCTGAGCAAAGCTCAAGAAATGATAAATGACGTTCCAGAAAGCTTGGGAGATATATTAAAGAAAAAATTAAAGGATGTACTATTGAAAAGCCCGGACTTTAAAACGATTGAAAAACTGAATGACTCAATTAACAGCATAGATGGAATGAATTCGATTGACGATTTAAACATGGAAAAAATCTATAAAAATATATATGCTCCATTGACGTCGTGCGATGTTGAAAGAAGCTTTTCCGCATTCAAGCTTTTACTCACAGACAAAAGAACAAAATTAACTGTTGAAAATATAGAAAAAATTTTGGTCACATATTGTAAACAAAATTACAACTAAAATGTACTTTAACATCCTAACTATTGCTTAGCGTGATCCCCAAAGCACTAAATACACTCATATTAAATACGTATTTTTTCTGATTTTTTTGGTGTAATGGCGAATATATAAATTTGTTGCGTGTGGTTTGTAACAATTTTTTTTTTGTTTAAAACCAATTCCAGCCAAATTGGGGCTTTGCACTTTCAATTTCCCTGTGGATCGGCTAATGTGGCGGGTACAGTTTTCAAAAATTATATTGATTGGTCCAACTTTTTAAATTATAGAAATAAGCAGTAGTTTGATGAAAATGTTCACAAACTAACACGATTTTTGAAACCGATTTTCTTAAGATACGGTGGTGCAATTGTAGCTATTTTTATGTATACCCCTTCTGTCACCTACAGAAATACATTTTAAACATTTTTACCATTAAGCTCGAAATATATGTGCCTGTAAGAGACAGAAACATATTCGACATATTTTGCATATTCTCGACATATTTTACATATTCCCGACATATTTTGCATATTCTCGACATATTTTGCATATTCCATTGGATAAAAAAATGCATATTTGCGATATGTCGTCGTCATTCGAATACCAATTTAATATAGTGCCTAAATCCAAAATTTGGCGGTATTTGAAGCAAAAATGAAGAAAAACATATAATCCGATGTCTATTTATATTTAAATAATCAAATTTCAGTCTCAAGCAGATTCTGATTCAGATTATCCTTCATTTGCTTACACTACTTCTCCCGCAGTCCTTCACATCCTAGAAGTTTTCATATAAAGTTAGCACTCTGTAGCCCCACTCTATATTCCCAGTTTCCAAATTCCCACAGTTGCCTTCGTTGGTAAAGCAGGGTGGGAGGTATATCTATATCCCATATCTATAAATCAAAAGGCCCACAAAAACCTCTTTACAATAAGGCTTAATCACAAACAAGTGGGCCGAGAGCGAAGAAAAGTTTAAGCAGCAATCAGGAACAACAAACAGAAACGGGAGCTCGGAAAGTGGATGAAAAGTCGGGAAAGAACATTATAGGATTACCAATAATGCTTTAGAAAATTGAAACTCACTATTGGTTGCTTAAAGTTCTCCTCTTCGAATTGGCCTAAAAAGCGCCATTGATTGATGTCAGTGAAATGTAATTGAATGTTTCTAATTACGCCTCATTAGGATTACAAATCGAACGCTCCAAGTGTTGGGCTTCATAAATATTTAGCGAAATGAAATTGAAAACGAAAATAGGAGCTGCGACAATTGATTTCGGTGCGCATGTGATTGATCGTCTGGTGGCGGTAATGGGAATCCTTCTCGACGACACCATAAATGTCGTCTGTTGTGTCACAGTCACACCTCCGCATGAATGGATCACCAGATTGGGGAAGAGATATAGGGGAGATATGGCAAGGAGCGGGTCAAATCGGATGAGATGCAAAAAAGCGGTGGCTCCGAGCCATGAACATGACGTATGAAAGTCGTAACAAAACACTTTGATTGATGATTGAAATGGTACGGGTCTGGTCTAGTGGTGGTTGCGTGATAAGGTCGGATTGTCGAAACCCTTAGCTCTAATTAGAGGTGGAAATTGTTGATCTGGTTAATTAAAGATTTTTAAGATTAAGTTATTTAATAAATTGGGATTATTTTCTTTAACAATAATATTAATATCAGAATTCCACAATTGACTGATTTCCATTTATTATCCAAAAGCACTTAACTGAGGCTTGTCCTTATCTGTGTTCCGAATTTGATCCTTTCGGTAAAATTCCCCGAGTCACGCCACCATTTCCAATCGGACCACAAATCGCTGTCCTCGACCGCAAGTCTACACTGGTATAACCAAAATGGAGTCCAGGGGCCCCACCTGTTCCTCCCGCAAACACGCACAGGTGCACATAAGTTCATGATTCCATAATGTCTGTGACATGTGGCCATCAACTGACCCTCACTTCTTTGGCCACCCACTCGCCAGCCACCCCGTCCCGCCATCCACCCACTCCGTCAGTGGATGTGCGGTCAGGCAGTTACAAGGTTTGAGTTTGAGTTAATCCATTGTCCTCGTCCTGTTAGTGATGTTGGCGTTGCCGACTGTTGACGGTGTTTCTGCTGTTGGTGGCTTGTCTTTGAAATGTTTCGGCGGTCGCCGGTTCGTTGCTCTGCGGCTGGTTTTTGGTTTTGGGATAAACGCAGGCTTCGACGCGCAGATCAGAGCTTTAACTCCCTTCTTACGTTCAATTAAAGCTTCTACTGCATATCGCTTTAACTCTATTCGGAAACATTTCATGGCATTATAAGCTGGTACTCTTTAGAGCGTATTTAACAATGTTGTTTTTGGTTTGCCGACTTATTAGGACTCTCGGCGGTTGTATGTTTGCAGAGGGTTTTATGATTTCAGTCAGACCCCATAAAGTATATATATTCTTGATCAGGGTCACTAGCCGAGTCGATCTAGCCATGTCCGTATGTCCGTCTGTCTGTCTGTCCGTCCGTATGAACGCTGGGATCTCGGAAACTACAAAAGCTGGAAGTTTGAGATTTTCCACACATATTCTTAGGCTTCCTACGCAGCGCAAGTTTATTTCAGCCGAGCGCAACGCCTTCTCTAAAGCCCACAATCGCCCTCTAACGCCCACACCTTTTAAGATTTCCGAGAAGTATAAATGCATCATTGTTGTGTATATTTATACATGTTGACATTTTTATACCCGTTACTCCTAGAGTAAAAGGGTATATTAGATTCGTGCAAAAGTATGTAACAGGTAGAAGGAAGAGTTTTCGACCGTATAAACTATATATATTCTTGATCAGGATCACTAGCCGAGTCGATCTAGCCATGTCCGTATGTCCGTCTGTCTGTCTGTCCGTCTGTACGAACGCTGAGATCTCGGAAACTACAAAAGCTAGAAGGTTGAGATTTTCCACGCATATTCTTGGGATTCCTACGCAGCGCAAGTTTATTTCAGCCGAGTGCCACGCCCCCTCTAACGCCCACAATCGCCCACTAACGATTTTAAAATTATTTATATTAAAATTATTTTCTTTAATTGTTGATACTATCGATAGTATCGATAGTGACCACCATCGATAGCCAAAAACATCGATGGTGTCCACTATCGATTTTTTAACAACCCTACCGAGGATCTTTTTAAGGAGAACGACAAAGAGAAGGCTATTCACTACGATGACAAGGCGATGGCCGATCTGCTTGACTACATCAATCGCGGCATTGAGGAGAAGGAGTCGTGGGCCAACGAGTATCTTTTGTCGTTCGAAGTGGCGTCTTACGCCACTAAGGAGGGAAAAAGGGAGAATAAGAGTGATGGCTGAAAACAAGGACCCAGCTTATTGGGGGAATCTGCTGGAACAACATCAGCAGCAGCTGCAGGAGGACGTTTAGCGCAACATAGGAAATGGAAAGCGAATTCGTAAGCGGATGGATTATTCCAATATTTTGAAGAAAAATTTTACGATATTCTTATTCTTATTACACCCTGGCTGGTATAAGAAATATCAGTAGAAACAAAAATGGCTTATTTAAGTTCGTTTCGATAAGCTTGTTCCTAAGGCGACTATCGTTAGTATGCATTGTTATTTGATCGTGTAAACTATCCGCGCATTAAGGGTACTCCCCACTTTGAACGTCAAAAAGTAAGGCATTTTCGTTAGTTTTTTTAAGCAATAAAACACTCAGGGAGGGCAAATATGTTATAACCCATTTATTACTCATCCTTCGAAGTACAATTTGTATTTTTTTGAACTCGATTGGCGTCTCCCCGTGGCCGGTCCACAAGGCCGCGTGGGCGTCCTCGCGCGGAAGTCGGAACACGGCGGGGGAAAATACCATGTGATCCTGGACCATAAATGGAACAAAATCCTGATTAGTAATGAAATTTGGGTTAGAAATACGTATTCCGATTTTTTTATACCCTTGTAGAGGGTATTATAATTTCAGTCAGATGTTTGCAACGCAGTGAAGGAGACGTTTCCGACCACATAAAGTATATATATTCTTGATCAGCACCAATAGCCGAGTCTATCTAGCCATGTCCGTCTGTCCGTTTCTATGCGAACTAGTCTCTCAGTTTTAAAGCTATCGCGACGAAACTTTCCCGAAAGTCTTCTTTCTATTGCAGGTAGTACATATGTCGGAGCGAGCCGGATCACTATATCTTAAGGCTCCCATAGGAATATTCAAACAAATATAAGAAAATTCATTCTAACTTTGTAGGAAGTAGGCGTTTTGATTCTTAACTCGATGAAACAAACTTGCGCTGCGTAGGAAGCCAAAGAATATGTGTGAGTAATCCAAACTTTCTAGCTTTTGTAGTTTCCGAGATCTCAGCGTTCATACAGACAGACGGACAGACGGACATGGCTAGATCGACTCGGCTAGTGATCCTGATCAAGAATATATATACTTTATGGGGTCAGAAACGCTTCCTTCTAGCTGTTACATACTTTTGCACGAATACAATATACCCTTTTACTCTACGAGTAACGGGTATAAAAACTCAGAACTTTTTTTTGAAAGATCTGTTAATTGAGACCGATATTTTAAAAAGGTATTTATTCATTAATACATAAATGATGGAACGCAATAACAAGAAATTGATTATCCTTGTAATCAATCCACGGAAAAAGTTTTTTTGAATTATTATTGAAGTTTATTTTGATCGCAATTCTTTCCCAGAGCCATATCAAGCAATCCCTTATTGCAAATTCTGAACATGCCGATTGACATTATTTATTAATAAAGAACTTAATATTGTTGTCCAGGGAGAAGGAGAAAAAATAATTAAGACAATTATGTTGGCCATTTTAATTCAGACATAAGTTTTAACACAAAAAATATGAATCTAAATAATTTTTGCTAAGAACTCATAACCAAATGTCTACTGAAATAATTAAATGTAATTCAATTAGGGGCAATTTATGCGTAAAATTTTATTAAAGCGGTCTGCAGTATGAAGTAGAAAAGTCTCAATGCCAGAGAAATACACAGAAAAAAGTATTTAAAATAAAAAATGTTGTAATAATGGTCAAAAGTTTGCAACGCAGTGAGGGAGACGGTTCCGACCACAAAAAGTATATATATTCTTGGGCAGGATCAATACCGTTTGCAAGCTCAATTTAAAGGCTAGCGACTTTAAACTTTCACAGTCATCCTAAAACATGTGTATGCAGATCAAGTTTGAAAATCGACTCGATCATGCTCCCATACATACAAAAAATTTGCTTGGTAAAATTGACCAACAAAGATAGTTACGTAACTATTAAAATAGTTACTTGTATTTTGTTTTTGCTTTGGGTTTGTGTCTTTGCTAATAGTGTGTATTTTGTTGTTGTGAAATGACTATTTAGAATTGACAATTTTGCTGGTTGGGCCCTGTTTGACAATTATTACAGTTGATTTTACCAAGTTTTTTTTTTGTGTGTAGGAGCAATCGGGGTCACTAGCCGAGTCGATGTGGCCATGTCCGTCTGTCTGACCGTCTATCCGTCTGTCTGTCCATATGAACGCTGAGATCTCGGAAACTACAAAAGCTACAATATTGAGATTTCCCACACATATTCTTGGGCTTCCTACGCAGCGCAAGTTTATTTCAACCAAGCGACACGCCCCCTCTAACGCCCACAATCGCCCACTAACGATTTTAAAATGTGTCTGGCATTCACTCCTAAAGATTTCCGAGAAGTATAAATGCAATTTTGTTGTGTATATTTATACCTATCGAAATGTAGAGGACATTTTTCAAAACGGAGCATTCATTAAAAAGTTATGCGCAATCAAAAAATGTTATATATCCATCTCCCTCGAACTCCATTTAGATAAGTGACGGGTATTAGATAGTCGGGACACCCACCCGACTATAGCGTTCTCTCTTGTTTTTTTTTTAAACTCCTACCGTTTGTTTATAAAAAATAATTTTTTAATTAAGCTCCGATTTTTAAGTTATGCAGCACTTGAGACTCGTTTGAGATATTTAAATATTTGGTATGCAATTTTGTGAGACATTTTAATATCTTTCAGAAAAATATTTTTCAAAATTTTTTATTTTTTAAATTAGGTATTTGTTAAGGGAATTTGAAAATTTCCGAATGAAAAATTATCCTAATATTTCCTCATCAATTCCTTATAAAGTGGTAAAATGACATTTTTGTAATCGCTAGACCTACTAGTAAAGACAACGATTTTTGTTCAGCAACTTTGCATAAAGCACCAACAGCGCAACGGTGCTGGTATTGCTGTTTTAAAATATTTTTTTAAAAATAAACGGTAAGAGTTAAAAAAAAACGATCTTTTTAATTCAATCCTCTATCGAAAAACAAGTTCCGATTTATTCTGGAATTTGACCCAAATGGGCCTGTCACGTTTCACGTGGAACTACCCATTTTCTTGTGCATACCTTGAACAGGGCAGTTTATTTCAACATGAATCTTTCCAAATCGTATTTTTTTGTGCATACCTTAATCAGGGTAAAAGCGCCTTCCGATCGGACGTCTATTTATTTTATTTATTTATTTATTTAAAGTTAGCAAATATCTGCCAACATAAACATAGTACCCTACTCACATCAAGTGGAAGGGGGCAGGGACAGGTAAGTTAGGATGTTTGTTACAATTAAATTAACAGAGCATTCCGAGAATATCAAAAAATACAGTTCATTATATTGCGAACATAAAACGCGAAATGGATCATGTAACTCAAAGTTAGTTTTACAAATATCGAGGGCAATTGGTCGAAAGTGTCGAGTAGACCTTACAGGTCTACTATCTATATCCTATAGCTCCCATAGGAACAATAGGGTAAAAATTTTAAATGTTTTTGTTTGTTTATTCATGTTGCTATTGTAGTCAAATTTTAATTCGTGGAATCTGCAAGGGTATTAAAACTTCGGCTTACTGAAGTTAGCTTCCGTACTCGTTTAAATTAAAATATAATAGAGGAATTAATTTTAATTGACTTATTAAAAGACAATGTCTTGTTGCTAATAACGCGATATGCTTTAATTGGATCGGACCAATAATTTAGAAGGTGATACAAATATGTAG